TAAAATGGAAAACTTTTATGAATAATAATGATGCCAACATTCAAATTTGAATTGTTACACACACATATATATATATATATATATATAAAACTCATTATAACTTTGCGGAATTATTGACATATAAAATTGTTCAATAAATACTGCATGAAAAAATATTTATAGAAATTAACTTATTGGAAAAAAAATATACGCGTATATGTGATGGCCGTGATTCGATGATTCGTAGCGCTATATCCTAGGATTTAGATTCAAGTTGAAAGCTGGAGACGAGCATTGTGCGAAACAATGTCGTCATCATTGTACCTGTTTTGCGTGGCTTTGATTGTTCCGCGTGCCCCCGCGTTCAATGACGCTCGTCGGTCGGATGACTGCTGCTCGTGTACTCCACTTACCGGCCAGGAAATGGCGATGTGTGTAGCAACGCGTATTCGACGAGCGCGCCGAAATATCCGCTTTTGCCCCCAGCCAGCGTAACACGCGCATACGAGATGCACGTGTTGCACGGAATTGGTGCAACTGCAACGTTTGCCGTCGAGTTCGCCGCTCGATGCTCGTTCGATGTCCCGTCGTGTCGATTGGTTATCGTTGCCATTTTAACGTAACAAACCTCTATCTGCGAGCATTAATTATATCGCGTAAAATCTTTTGCTATTGTTCAATAATTAATGATTCGACGACAGGATGAATGAAGCGTTTAATCCGATATTTAATGCCGGATACTCGCTCGTATCCGATTAATCCCACCATTCCGTCGTCACCACCGGCTGAATAATATCCATGAATCAATCACGAGTGTGCAAAAATATATATATATATATATATCTGGAAGTGATAAAGAATTCAGCGATTCAATCCAGCAATTTCAGTCCCCGCGGAATTTTTTTATAAAACGTATATATATATTTGAAATTTATAGTATACGCGATAAATCCGGGCCATAATCTCGATATCGGTGTGCACGTGTGCACCCGTTTAGGTTCTGCGATTCTGGAGCGTATCTCTAATAAAATCGCTCGTCCCCGTCTTCTCTCCGCTCCGTTCCGCGTCTCTCGAGCGATGTCGTATTTATTTATCCAGTCGTGCACGGATGATAACGACGCGGGCGTTTCATTCATTGTTAGCGATGCTGGAACAGCGCTATGAAAACTACGTTATTTGTATGCCGCGAGCGCAGTCTCCTTAACTGCGACAATACTTTTCCACCGTCAGAGAAAGCCCCGGCCAACCCAACCCCCTAAGCCCCAAAGGGTGGCAGCGGGACGGAAGAAATATGGAAATGGCCGGGAATCAAGGAAGGGTCACGACTCCCTAGCCTCCGAATTAGAAGAATTAAGTAAAGAGCCAAACTCCCTTATAAAGGGATTTCGCTCTGTCGCACGGAATACGAGAGAGCGAGCGACGGATTGGGACGCGATTAAGAGGAGCTGCATATCGATGAGGCGCATATATTCAATGCATCAACAAGTTTTATTTACAGCCGCGGGATATCGATATAAATCATGCAACATCACATTAATTTATGACGTCGATTCTTTTTTCGCCAAAATTACACTTTGCGTTATTTAGGAATAAATATAATCTGTATATAAGATAATGTGATCGCGACATTATTGAGTATAAGTCTAGCGAAGATAAATTACTTGTTTTACAAATTTCATGAAATAAAATAGCGCATGTTTCCAATTATTTCGATATCTAGAACATCGATCTAATGCGTTCATTACTTATGTACTAATATTATACTATCCTATATATATATAGGATGAAAAATGGAAATAAAGATTGCGACCATGTTTTTCTCCCGCGCAGCTTAGTGGGTCATGATATGAAATAAGTGAGGGAGCGAGAAAGGATAAATTATATGTTTCTTCAGAATTGAATTTCATACAATTTCTTTACAAAAATTTGATTACGAAAATATATATAAATAATGCATGTTTTTTTATCTATAAATAGTAAATGTACACTTAAATCAATTTATTATTTATTATTGAATTATCAAAAAGATAAATCTAATAAAAACACATCTGTAAAATAAGAATAAATATATTCCGTGATGCATTAATCATCTAATAAACAATCAAGTTATATTGTAAAATACTTGCATAAATAAATTTAATATTCCGCGTATACATGCAGAATATCCGATAATCGCATCCCTCTTGTGCAGATAGAGCGAATTAAATCGAGTAGAAAAGATCGTCTTGCAATCTTCGCAATAAGGAGAAAATAATTAAAAAAGCGCGAATCAATTTCATCGTGTTTGATCGACAAGAAAAGTGGAAGCGAAAAATTCGTGTCAATACAAACACACGTTATATTAATCATGTTTGTTAGCTTGTAAGCGCTTCGCGTGTGTAATACGCAGTTCATCTTAATACATATGTACGGCAAAGATTCTCAACACGTTACGTGATACCTCTGTAGCGATGAGCGATGAATTCGCGCAATCTCTCTCGAAAAAGGGTGAGAGAGAGAGAGAGAGAGGGATGAGAACGCTTAGATTTACTTATCTCTCCCTCGCGATGCGCATATATATATATATATATTTCATGGCTGATATCCCTACGAATGCGAAACGCACATGCGCGAGCAGAGTCACAGTTATTATAATCACGGTGCACGCAAACGCAAACGCACACGCACACATATACGTACACATATACAGCTACGCATAGCTATGCGTACTTACCGTGTAGAGATAATCGGGGAAGATGCGCTGGTTAGCGAATATCTTGGATATCTTCCTCTTCCACCTTCTCGCTGTCGTGAAAGCCTGGCTCTCATTACGCTAACAAAATTCTCACATTTTCCGCTAAATGTTCCCTTCGTGTTAATGAACGACTTATCTTCATATTTGCTGTCACCATGTGCACGAAGCCCGGAGAGCTCGTTTAGAGAAGTTGGGTTAGCCCGCTAACTGTAGCGGCCGCGGAATTAATTGAGAGACCTCTCCTCTTCCTGGCTATATCTCGTTATACGAGTAAATTCTGAATTCTGGTAACTGTTCATCGGAGTCTGAAAACGAGCCGCGGCAGAGTCTGCGCGTTCAGCAATAGCCATGAGAAATAATATCTGGGAACGTAATTGCTTTTTAAAAGCCCGTCGGTTTCGCGGATTTTGCCCGCGTAATTGTTAATGACTTTTTTAATGGCGGAAAATGCTGTTTTCAAATTGACCCGTAAAATTTTCCTCGTCGTCTATGCTAATAATTTTTAAACTCGATCGTGATACAGAAACTATCTGTTATCGTGAAAAAATGGATTAATCCAAACTTTACGAAAAATAATCAACTATGTAAAATATACGTGGAATTTTATATAGAAATATGATTAATGAGAAATTGAAAACAATTTGTTTTCTTTCTTTTCCATGAAAAGAGATATTCTCTTTAATAATCTTGTGTTTATTAATTAAAAATGAATCATTAATTGTAGAGGTATTGTGATAATGTCAATGTATAGCGAATTGAAAACATAATATTTTAAATTCCGCGACGCAAGAAATACGGTGAAACATTTCTAATATTACATTTATAACGCATAATAAGAAGTAGGTCTTTAGGGATAAAGTGAGAAAAGGAGCAAAGGACAAAAAGAGAATATACACGGCGCTGTTACAAATCCATGAGTCCTTTATTAAGAAATACTGCATCGTTCCGACAATATCGCAAAATGGTAGTACGAATATAATCTTCAAGCTATAAGAGCTTCGACGCAGCCTCCTTCTCGAGCTGTCGACTTTGCTCGGAGCGTTTTCCAGAGCGGCGTTCCGGAGTTTTGACATTGGATTAGTCGAAGCAGCGTAAAAGTCCCCTTCTCAACCCCTTCACTCCCGTATATGTAAAACTTTAATTACATTTAAATATAAGTATGACCCACCGAGTTACCAGCTATGCGACTTCCCTAAAGGGGACTTCTCGCTACCCTACGATCCGTCTTTTATTCATCCTCCGCACATCGCCGAGGGCAATCGTCGCACCGTCGCGTCGCATCGGATCGCTCGCGACCGCGAAACGTTCGAATGGGAACGCTACGTCGATCGGTGATTTATGCCCGAGAGCTCGCGGCAAACTTGCGGACGAAGACGAAAGGAACGGTTTCAATATGTGCGCGCGCGCGCGCGAATCCTTTTTCTTTTTCTTTCCGTCTCCTTTTTTTTGTTCTCCTCGGCAGCCGCGCGCAGCAATTTACTCCCACGCAAACTTGGAGCTGTAAATATCTAAATTCGAAATCGTTCGATAGGGAAGACTGCGCATCTCGAAAAGATTATATTGACATATTGCTAATGATTCCGAGACTATTTCCTTACAAAGATCAAGTGGATAGAGTATTACGAGATTTAGAGATAAAAATGGAACGTACTTAATATAGAGAGGTGATCCGAGAATTTAAAAATATCATGTAATCTTTAGTTTTTGACACTTATGTATAGAATGTTATTATACGTTGTGAGATGAACATCCAAACCGGTGTTAAAAGTTTACGAAAAATATATTCGGTTTATAACTCTGTTATAAAAATAAGAAATAAAAAAATGAAATAAAGATTTTCATTCAACAAGCAATCTGTTAAAAATTAAAAATATTTTCCAACATAACTTTTAATTGCATTCCGTGGTAATCTTCAAAAAAGAATTATTAGCAACACACCAATTTTTCGCCAAATAAATTCAATCTTCCCGTCACACATTCGGATATTTCGAATAAATACGAATACTAGATGAGACCGAAGTACTCGGATATATTCGAATTGCTCAAAAAAGAGATGGGAACGAAAGACAGAAAGAGGGAGGGAGGAAATTTTATACTATTTGTTCAAATAATCGAATAGTAAGAGTTTATCCGGTTTTGCAAATCTGTTTACTTTAGTTTTAAGAAAATATATAAGTTTATAAACAAATAAAAAGGAAATTAACTAAGTTTAATTTTCAAAAATGAATTTGGAACCAATATTTATTTTTAAAAATTTTCAAGAAAGAGAGTGAGAGAGAGAGAGAGAGAGAGAGAATGAGAAGAAAAAGACAGATTTTTTTCATTTATCTTTATATAATTCGAAAACTATCGTTTTATACATACCCGAATATATTATAATTATAAAATGTTGGCTGCAAATTCCTCAAAGTACCTATTATTAACATATTCTGTTATTAAAAACATTTATTATAGAACTTTAATTAGAAAATATTGTTCTATGCGTTGTGCTGACGTTTTTCGCGTGTTCGATTTTTTCTGTGGTATATATATATATATATATATATATACGAATTTTATCCAGATTTACGTTCAAATGAGAATTATACATTTTGAATAATCATTTTGAGTAATCATATTACACGAATTATACGGATATTTCGATCTCCGAATCGATGGCGCGCATCTGAACATTCTAGATATATCCGAGTACTTCTATATCCGGAATCCTCTCGGATTTGACAACCTCGCTTGAAAATCGCTCGTCGCGGCAAACAGACACGACGAACGTACGTATGCAACACCAAAACACGACGGAACGAAAGCGCGCCTGAACAATCTCGATGACGCGACAAGGAGAAGACGGAGACACGACAGAGATATAGACAAAGTAGATGACACATCGGGCGACGTTAGCGCCGGTATCGCTAGAGAGACGCGTTCGCCGCGTTAACTCGGGTGGCCGAGGCCACCTCCTAGACCGATCCGACCGGTCGATCGATGGTGTATCCCGACCGGATTCTGCCGGGGTGAGTAGACGCGGAGACCGTCGTGGGAGAGCCGACGCGCGGGGCGTAGCCCCCGGGATTCTCTCGTCTCTCGCTCATCCTACCGGTCGTTCAGGACCTCGGCGCAGATCAGCATTGACAGCAGATGCAACGCGAAGTAGGGACGCACGGTGGAGTGTGCCGTGGACGCCAGGGCGTAAGCGTAGGACGAATAGCAATCCCTGTGAGCGTAATACATATACACATGCCATATATATATATATATACATATAGGATAATGAAACTCTAACAGGATGTCGAGATCAGTTAGCGTAAAAAAAAAAAAAAATGTCACTTTAACTTGCCGGCTCGAACCTAAGAAGTAACGGTCGAGAAGAGAAGGTAGTTTCACAGATACGATGATCGTTCTATGTGCGTTCTTGGAAGCGTGTTTATGTACAGAGCTACAGGAGAGATGGGATCCAAGTTTCGACTCGTCGTCGAATCTTGTCGCAAGTCTCCGAAGCTTGATGCTTTCGTGACCTCGCAAAGTTTGGGAACAAACTGACTGAGCGACTCGAAGCCGGATGCCAACCTCGATATTGCATCCTTGTTATCTTCTTGCGCGATTGAGAGAGGGAAAAAAGTTGATTTCTTTATTCCGTCGATAACACGTATTTTTTTCGGTCACAGCGTTTTATCCAATGCATAATGCATTTGCCTCGCTTTGCGAAGGCTTTGCATCGTGTTGTTTAAAAATTTATCTCCGCGGCGCTGGTGCGTTTCCATTATTTTTGCAAGCGGTCACTCGCGAGGTGTTACAACCTCGGCTCGCTAATACGAAATTGCTCGCAACTTCGAAACATCACCGCGCTAAACTACCTCTTAGCTGAGAACTCTCTGAAATCTTTGAGGCTCTTCCAAGACTTTGCGAGATTACATGACGCTTTCAAACTACGAGAGCTTTCATGGTGCTTAATTTACGAAGAAGACGTCCCGCCGCCTTTTGGAATATTGAAAAGTGCAGTAATCCCTCTCTATCCATCTTTCCGTTTATCTATCTTTATACCGACATTTATCTAGTCTGTTACTGACTTGATTCACTTTATAATTTCAAACGGTCGAGACAACTCTTTTGGGATTTAACCTTCCATTTTCGTTCGTTTCAATATATGTTAGACTTTGAAACAGCATTCCGGGGAATTCAACAATGTTAATTGTCAGTAAACGTATGTAATTTTTCTTATACCGATATAGAATTTCTTACATCTCTTTTAATATAAATGACAGATTATATTATTTTTATAAGTCTATGATATATATATTGTTAGATTCGCAATTATTAAAAACGTGTTGTTTCAGTTATAATTAATTTGTATAAAGGAGAGATTTTACTAGTTAATTCCAAAATGACATATATATAGTTATACCGCGTATAAAATATCGATTGTATTGCATTAATAATTTACGAAATGAAAACATTTGAAATATGCAAACTTCCGTAAGCAAATTATTCTCATTTTCAAAATTATCCATATCTTCGTTTCCATTTCGTGACAGTATTATTAACGGTGCAATGCGCGCGATGTACTTTGATCTAATTGGTATTCGCTTCACGTGTACGCAACCAATTAACGACAAATTCTCGATAGATTCCAAGTTCATGTACGTTATCCAAGGGGTTGATACACCCAACTTGCATTTTCGACGGAATAGAGAGAGAGAGAGAGAGAGCGATCGAATTAAAATTGCTCGCGAAAGCTCGCGAGAGAACTCATTATCAATGTTGAATTTATCTGTGTTTATTAAAATGAAACAAGATTGCATATCAAATGAAAAGAGAAGTCAACATTAGTGATTAATATCTCTTGAATATGAAATGCTTACCGAAGAAAATTACACAAGACTCAATTTTCTTCGCAGGTTAAGAAAACTCCGTATCTCTTTCTCATGAAACTAGTTTGCCAATATCACGCGGATAAATCTTTGCGACGACGCGATTTTCATATATACTACTACTGTTTGGTCTGATCCGCGGCGGGTTAGATCTGAAAATCTTGAGGAAACGAGAGTCGGCCAGAAAAATACTCGGCGAAAAGATGAGGCGCGTATATCGAGTACATCGAGATGAGAAATTTTGCGAGAGCGAAACGATTCACCGAAACGCGCGCGAGCCGAGAGTTACAAGGCGTGGCGTACCTGTAGGACTCGGGATTGAGCCTGGTCACGGTACAGTAATGATGCAGCGCACAGACTCCGTTGAGAGGACCGCCGCAGCCCCAGATTTGCTCCACCTCGCGCGGTAGCGAGACCGTGTTGGCCGCGTAATACCTGAAGCAGAGAGAAACGCGCAAACACACACGCGCGCATAACACGGTGTACAAACATACCGCGAGGCGTTACGCGAGGAAAGATAATGTATACATGTATACCGAGAGACCGAGCTTGTGCATTAAGAGGACTGGTCGCGGGACTACCGGGACTGTCATTAGCATCGTAATGGCGCGCGCCTCTGTCTCGAAAGGGGTAAGATAGTTATCACAATGTCGCACGGATGGGCTACGAATATTATCGTCCGGAAAATAATTGTCGACTCGCGGAGAGAAACGTGTGCGCCGGGAATTATTAATCTCGCGTCGACATCACACGCGACATCGTGTTCTTAGGGAAAACCCGTTGAAAATTTTAACCGCGACCGGCAATTAGACGAAATTACTATCAAACAACGATGATAATATAAGCGATCGCTATTATAAGCATACTAAACACGCCCGGTTGATTCGAGAACGCGATTAGCGCAGCGATATAAATGCTATTTTTGGACGAACATTGTCTGTTTTCGTTGCATTTCGTTTCACTTCTGGAGAAAAGCCAAAAAAAAAAAAAAAAATATGTCAGCGAATGAAACACGCGATTTAAGATGTAATCGAGGCCAGTATTCAGCGAGGAGGAATACTATTATGGTTTTCGAGATATATGTACGCAAGCCCAAATCGAAGCCAATCGATCCGTCTCATCGCGCGCTACGTACCTAACGAAGGCGTAATCATTGGATTGCGTAAATCGGTCAGCCAGATCGTGAAGAGTGATGGCCGATATCTCATGCAGCTCATAATATTCGAGCAGCGAGTACTCGATCATCCAGTTCGCTTTGCCGTTTGAATTTGCCTCGGGCAGATTAAGATAGTACTGCGTGTAATCCAGAATCTGTTCAGCATGCAATATACATATATAGACACTCATATATATAATATATATATATATATATATCAATTCATTCTGCATTTCTGCATCCCTTTGAAATCGACACGTCGCACAAATAGACGTTACAGGAACGACAGAGATATTATTATCGAGAATGTATGTATACGCGCCCCATCGCCACGTACCTGTCCGGTATTAGTTTCGAACTTGTACAATCGCAAACCCGGGTTGTTGGGTCCTCCAACGGCGCTCGGAGTTACACTGGGAGCCATCATTATCCAGGATACGGGCAGACCTGTTTAGTATCGTTTTGCAGAATAATTAATCGCGCGCTGAATATTAATAATATTTGAGATCAAAGCGACAACTGATGAAACGATGCAATGCGCTGGATGCGAGAATCGATAACAAAAAAATTGAAATAATTGATCAGTTAAATATATTTGTTTGGCTCTGAGGAATTGATATGAAAAAGGCAGATTCGCGGTATGACGGAATTAATATGGGTTTCAAAAAATTGTTTAATGTTTTTTGCAGAAAAAAGAAAATATAATAATATTAATAATCTATCGCAATTTTTCTGCAATAAATGTTTCATATTTAACCATGAATATTAATGAATATCTTTAATCTTATTGTTAATCGACACAACTAATTCTTTTTGAGGACTGAAAATTATCATGACATACATAATTCAGATTGCAATAAAACTTTTTCAACACGTCACATATCGTGAAAAAGAGTTTCTCTATATATTTTTATCTAGTTAGTAATCTTATAAAAACTGAGATTAAAAAAAAAAAACAGGTTGATGGTTACAGCGAGTGTTTCTATTTCGACGTAGATTTTTATTTTATATTTTAAAAAATTTTATCATCAGAAAAAATATGCAAACAAGTATTGTATTATTTCAATATTACGCGAAATATTTGAAAATCTCCTAGATCGCTTTTAATATATAATTAAGAAGACCACCGCGTTTATTTTTATGAATATCGAGCAGATTTGCTTTCAAATTCATATTTTATAACTTTAAAACATCTATTTCTCTATTTATAAAATATCAAAATATCAAAATAAAATCTAAAAATAAATGTAAAAGTATTTTCCTTTTTTGATAACATATTAAAATATTATACCAAGTCTGATTTAGTCTGTTTTCCGCGTATAAAACTTACCTAAGTCGCTGTAAATTACACGGAACGTATCCGAATGCCAGTGACCGAAGAACTGTCCTCTGATAATGTCCGAATAAAGTCGCACCGTCTGAAGATACTTGGTGTTATGCCTCTCGTTAAGAGCCGCGGCGCCGCTTTCATGGTCGTCCACTCCCGGAGGCGTGTGGCCGACTATGTACACCTGACCGTTACAGAACAGAATAGGGAATGAGCATCGAACATCGATATTTCGAAAACCTGCATAGTTAACTCCGCATTCCGCATCAACTCTGCTTTCATATCCATTCATGTAAACTGGATGTTTCTTCCGATACTATTGATGTGTTCTACCTCACGTAGATTAAACTCTGACAGCATTATTCGCTGTTGCTTAATGCAGAAATACTTTTTGGATGCAATGCATATGCATCATGATAAAATATTTCTCTCATAAAAAATAAAAGAATTTGTTTCAATTTTAAATCTATCGAACTATGCAGAGGAATTTAAAAAAAAAAATACTTTTGTATGTACAATGTTAAGTTTTTATCGCGCTGATTAAATCAAACATTTATAGCGTTTTATATTTTTTGGTGCATCGTTTGATTTTTTAATGTATTTATTATTGTTGAAATGTTCAATTTTAATACTTTGATCATAAAAGCATCTGTGCCAACAATACCACCGAGAATCTCAATTCGATATATCTAAATTTGCTTGAGCAGATACTGTCGCCTCGTGTTCCACAAATGGCGATATATCCAAATCCATTAAAGTAGAAGTATCTTTTTCTATATCGCAAGTTATTGATATTGGGTCTGAAGACAGTTACAATGTTGTTTCTGATATGGATATAGTTCCCCTCGCATTTTTATGGTCAAAGAGTGCAGACTAGATTTGCACTGCTCTGTGAACATAACACTAAATCAATTTGATCAGTATATTTTTTTACATATTGCACATTGAAGAAAGACTTGAACTTTACAATTTATTACGTAATTTTCTGATAGTGGAGTAAGAAAAAGAGAGAAAATATATAATTAAAAATGTTCGTCTCCGAAATGGAATATTTGTTTGCTATCTTTGTATCGCAAAGCCATTTTTTAAAGATAAAAATACTTATGTATACTCAAGTACATACATTATATATTTTTTATAAAATATTAGATTAAAATGTTGCTCGAATAAAAACCTTAGCGATGCTAATATTATAAATTTACGACGAAAAGATAATAACGATTGAATTTCTGTAGAGATCGCGTAGAGAACTCGGGGAGGGAAACACACATCGAGAATCGGATGATAAATATCGGCGGATCTCGTCCGCAACCAAAGAGCGGAAGCATTCTCATTCAACAGCGACCCTTAGTTATGTCGCGTGACTGCACCCCGGCTAAACAGACGCCCCGAAGTGAATCACGTACGCGGCTACGCAATGTGTCTCCCGGGACGCAGGAAGTCTCGTTAGCGTCGGCAAACCGGCCAGTCGCCAGTCGAGGACGATTGCGCGCACACACACACACACATACGTACGTACATACATTGCACGTTCGATCATGGTATCCGTCGCGAAGGACCAGATATCTAATCGGACACGTACGTGAAATTAGTCCCACCGGTTTGGAACGCAAATTGATGTTGGCGCCGAAACGGGAACTTTGATTGAAAAACCAAAGATACCTTTGGTTATCGAGGAGAGAGTATTAGTAGGTATTATATATCATCCTCGGAAAATATCACGATCGGAACGTACGCGCGCGTTAACGACGATTGTTTTGATCAATAAAACCTTTGTAAATTTATATGACAGATGTGTCATTTACTTGAATTTTATATATTAATGCTTTTTATAATTTAATAATTGTTGTTACATTTATTAGAGATATCTGTCAAACTGTTTAATTACATCTTCACGTCCAATGAGGTTAACGCTACAATACGTAATAAGTAAATGACAACTGTATTATCAATAACTGAAATAATGATGAATATAACGATATATCTCTGACATGTATGTCCGTGATCAATATTGGCTCGAAATAAGTCAACTACTCCCTTCGGACATTTCAAGCGAGGTAGTGGATGGTGTGGATGAAACAAAACTCGTTAAGTGGATAACGGCGGAAAAGAAAACGGAGGGGAAAAGCGAGAGATACGTTTTTCATTTTCGCGGATCCTTTCTCGTTGAATCGAGCCATGGGGACAAGATTGTCTCCTCCGAAATGATAACCGATCGTATACGAACGCGAAACTTGCGGTTGAACGACGGCGTCCGGAATTATATGTGACAGGACGTCGAAACGCAAAAGCACTCGCTCTGCTCTCGTGGGCGAAAGAAAAAGCACGCGTTCTTTCTCTCTTTATCCGCGAATAACCGAATTGTCGCGACGAGATTGAAAAAGATATCGCGCGAGCAGACTCGAAATCGGGCATCTTTTGCCGAAGGTGCAGGAATCACGGCTGCCATTCAACGAACGAATTGGGCACACAATGGTTCGCTGATTGGTCAGTTTTGCCCCCGCCGCTCTTAAACGACTCGTAATTTGTAATCGCATTATCCAGTCTGACGTTCAAAAACGATCGATCGATCCAGATCTCCTCCTCCCAGATAACCGCTCTCTCGCGACGTCGCTCGTTTTCTAGTGGAATGCAAGGATTGAGAAGCCCGCTCGGACCGTTTGCGAAGCAGCAGCACACACCGGCCCCGGATTATATCTGTCCACGGAAAATCGGATTTCTATCTCTCGGTGCTTCCCTCACCCCTTTTCTTTCGCGTCGGTGTGCGCTCTCTTTTTATCCGGGCACACGAGGACGTACAAGATTTTCCGAGAATTCTTCCGGAAATCCCTGGAGAGAGCGTGTCCACGACGGAGCGATCGAGCGAGTATCGAGATAGAAAAGGATGAGTGAAGAGAGATGGGAGAAGGAGAATTATTGCTGGGTTATCAGAGTCGCGGAACCAACGAGCTGTGCTCGCTATATTTTCCGATTGTTATTACCCTACTGGTCATTTCATCGCTTTGAAGAGTACCTATCGCGCGACGGCTATTTTGCTTCCACGCTCGTTGAATCGCACTAAGAGCTCTTTCGACGAGGGATGAAGAGAAAAAGAGAGATAGAAAGAGTGGGAGAAGCTTTAGGACTCTCCCGAGAGCGAGTAGAATATTGCGCATGGTTATCGGGCAGAAAATACAGCTGTTTTTATCGAGACTGGTCACATCGCGCGTTATTGTGATCCGGTCTCCCTAGTCGTGGATCTTATCTCCTTTAAAACTTGAAACTTTACGACGTCTTCGATCTTGTCGACGGTGAAGGAGAGATAATTGCAAAATCAAAGCTCGTCGCTTTCGAAAACATCGCGTTCGCGATATCGATCGAGACTCGGAGAACGTTATTTAGGGAGTCTAAGTGTATGCGATGAAAATATAAAGGGTTTAACCTCGAGAATATAGTAAATCTTACGAATAATTTCTGACTTTTTTTTTTTAACCGTAGAGAATCAAAAATTGAAGCGGAGTTTTATTGCGCGCACGGAGAGGTATGTTGAAAAATGTACGTCACTCTTCATACACGAATGCCATCCCGTGGCGTTATGTGGGGGGAGTAACAGGGTTGCCTTTTCGAACGTGCACGTAGGTGAATGCGCCGATGGTGTCGTGGATAAACGCGATGGCTCTCTCTCTCTCTCTCTCTCTCTCTCGGCTACATCCGTCCGGTTAATACGATCGGGATCAATGGCGGTGGCGTGCAACGGTTTACGTATACGAACGGAGGGTCTCTCCATCTCTCGTGTATGGAATACCAAGTCCCTCCATAATTTATCGCCGGTCGTGCCATCCTGGTCGCGTGAAGGATCTCCCTCGCGTATGTCGGACTCGTTCTGCACGCCCCCCGCGGCGTAATCGATAACCGATAACCGACCCCGTGCGATATTCGATAGGTCCCGACTCTTGGAAGACCTTCGTTGGTTCCGCGAGCGAAACCGGCGCGACTCTCTCTCTCGCGGACCTGACGCGAGTACATTAATTGCTCCGCTGATCGGAGAGGATAAATTTCCCTTCGTCTCGCTAGATTGCAACAATCTCCGATGCGAAACGTAATGAACATTTGTCATCGTGTTTTATGGCGAACACCGAGCATCTCGAGAAAGCGCGATATACGTCGAATCGGAAAGTTTTGGCGGGGAAATTGCATTCATCGGGAATAGAGAGTGACACGCCACATCTCGTACAATTTGCATTTGAATGATTATACAATTTGCCCGCGATTATAAATTTCTGTGCGCGAGAGCCTCCGTGAAGCTAAATTGTCGACGTGTGCGCCACGAGAGGGATAGAGCCGATAAGCCATCGAATAATGAACCGAAACGTGATCAAGAAAATCGAAAATTGCCATGTGTCAGCCGTCAGTCTAGCGAACATGTGTAGTCGCGCGCCATAATTTATAAGCGCGCGAACGAGGAGAAACGAGAACGATGACGACAACAGCTCGCTTGATAAATCATACATGCCATATTGAAGTCCGATCAACGGGGATTTTATTCGCCTCATATGTCCTCGTATATGCGCCGTGCGCGCGACAATTTATTTCATTAAAATTTATCTTCTTGAACGATCCTATTCCCTCCCTTTCCATCCTTCCGTCTCGCGTTAGCGTTTTTTAATATGACAGGCAAACACACACACACAATACGAGATGCGTTACATTCCGCGATCTTTCACGTTGCAAGCTTTCCATTTTGTCGACGTACATCGTAGATCTCGTTTCCTTGAAAAAAAAAAAAAAAAAGAAAAGAAAAGAAGAAGGAAAACATATCTCGTTGCACGATGACGGTAAAATGTGGGGGCAGCAATACCGTCGTCTTAAATTTTCCCTAATGCCGTCACATTCTTGGGTTTCTCACGCTTTTTGCGAAACAATAAACTGTGCTGAAGCTGAGTAACACCTTCGCGTGGGTACCCTTCAATTACTCAACTTGTCGTGCGACACGCGAGATATCTGGCAGTGTGTTTATAGGTACCTGTGTGCTTATTTACTCGGCAAAACATTCCCCCGTAATTCCACGATCTTTAGCAAGCTTGACGACACGAGCAATCGCGACAACTTTCTCTCTGATGCGTAATATGTACACACAATAATGTCAAATGTACAATTTTATCATTTTATTTATTCCATTAGAAGCTTGAATGTGAGAAGAAAAAGATTATATTAAAAAAGAAAAATATGTCGCATTAGAGAAAATAAAAAATATAATATCGCACACACTCGAGAAAGCTTCGTGTTCCGATATTAATCTTTGAAGAAAAATGGGAGGAAATACGCTCTTTCCAATAAGTGAACGAAGGGTCCCACCAAGTCGTTTCGAAGTGAGAAAACGTTCTTTTTTACGGAATATTTGTACGTTCGGTAAAGTTTCGCGGCAAAACAAGCCACTGCGACGCTGATTAAAAATTTATTAAAAAATTTATTGGACTTGCAAAAAAGTATGCTCTTTTTATTTATATATCGGTCGCTCGATGCGAGCTTTCTCGGTGATGGACAAGTAATTAATCACATTCAGATATCTCAACTCTGTTAGCATACATTTAACTTGACGCGATATTTTTTGCGTTAACATCGCGAACATCGCGGTATTTTACATAGAATAAATTTAGTCGAATTATCAAATAAATCAATTTTAGCCGATTTATCAAATCAATCAATTTTCTCTTTTATTAAAGGGAAATCATAAATATAAAAATAATATTATATAATCAAATTATAGACGAAAACAATTGTGCGATATTTAACTTGCATTGTGACATTTATAGAGAAACACGAAAAATTGTTAATTAAAAAGTTTTTAATTATATTTGTATTAATTAATTTGTCGCGCACACGAATATATGCATACACATTGTGCATATTATACACATTATTATGTAGGTACGTGCATGTGTTTCACGTATATATATATATATACATATAGTATAAATATGCGTATGTAATATGATATACCCGTTATTTGTTTTTTTTTAACTTTATGTTTAGTTTTTACACATGTCAAACATTACGGATGTCAAACTGTCAGACACAGTTCTGAATCACGATGCACGATGCATGAATATCTAGACACAATGCGTACGCTCCGAATACGCGCAATTTCGCGTAAAGCATACCCGATACCGAATGCGCATCGGCTTTTGCGCGATTAAACGCTCATTTATCCAATCAATCCTCGTATTAAAACACGCGTCTATAGATTTATCGATTGATCAACTTCATTATAAAGAGCTTAATTTACGCTCACGTTTCATATAATAGCGGACAGCGACTTGACGCCCGAAATCTTGTTAAACGTACGTTTTCCGAGAAAATGGAGATTGGCGCGTAAAAAAAATTCTTCGCCCTAAAATTATCGTTTTACATCGCGTGCAATCAGTACGAGATAGTACAGACACGCACGTATATACGCGATCGATACGAGCATGAAAAATTCCAACGCGACCTTTATGTCAGCGTGGTCGCTATTCGTTTCGAAATCGAATTACGAAAATATAGTCTCATCGAGTATTTTCGCTTAATTTAGTTTCACGTTTGTCGTTCCCGAAGAGTTCGACGGTCTCGGAGTCGATCGATATCGTTGGCAAAATAACGCGACATTAAAAGACGAAATTCCATTATCCCGACAAACTGTCAAAACACGGTTGAGAATTGTCGCGATCAAATTATTATCGTATCTTTTTTGCTCCTTTCATCATCGAGACGTTAATCTCTATCCATTCGAAACTGCAAGATTTGCTTTTATCGCTTTCTCTCTCTCTCTCTCTCTTTTTGCGTTTCGCGTTCTGTCCAACCTTCTTGAACAAAAATCCATAAAAATCGTTCGTGTCGATACCATGGCGATATGCCACGGATTATTTCGCCGCCATACAATATATATCGGCGAGATACAGGGAAACAAAGAATACGTTCGACGTAGTAATAACGCGTTCGAAGAGAAGAGAAGAGCAATGATGGCATATATATATATCTATATATACATATATCGAGCAGAGCATCAACCTACCGTTTCCTTCTTCTTCCGCGCATTCTCTAACACAGACTGGAACCAGGACCATTGGCCGAAGGGATCCTGCATGTTATCGACCGTGCTACTTCCGACACGATGCAGCATACGGCTGTCGACCGGGTTCAGCCACAAATTCGTATTAAGGAAGACGATCCGATATTTTTTCGAGCGCTGCTCGATCGTGTAGTAGCCGGCTGCAACAAATTTTGAATAGTGCCGTGGCGGTAAAGCCCCCAGGGGGCGAATTTATGCTCGCCAATAAGCTTACTTTGTGCCGTAACACATTTTCAGAGAGAGAGAGATATATATAAAGGGTATCCATAAATGTTGCATCGATCCGCTGGGCTCGTTTCGAATCAAAGAGCGGCACGAATCTCGTTCACCGATCATTTATACATACTCTCGGAGAACGATAATGCTTCTTTATCAATTTTAACGCGGTTTCTAAATATATAATACACCAACACGCTTACAGTCTGAGAGATTACATCTCTGAGAATAGAGCTCTATCGAATATCGAGATGAAAAACCAATCTTTTCTTTTTTTACGGAGAAATTTGTAAAAATAAAACATTTTGCTGATATTATTTGAAAGAGAATTATATGAAATAAAAAAAAACTGGCCGCTCTTGTAATTCTATAGCCTGATCGAAATTGCTCGCTCACCCTTTACGAAGGTATCCACCGCTTCTGGCGGTAACCAGTGCTGCCAGAGGTTCGCCAGCTGCGTGTAATTCACGCCGATGTCTTCGTGGCCGAGGGCGGGAAACACGAATTGTCCTTTGAACGTGCGGTGCAACAGATCGGTCAAATTCCGCAGACACTGCAGACGCAGGTCGACGCTCATGCTAGTGGAGCGTGTTAGCGCGTCCCTGCAACAAGTAGTTACAGCCTTGTTAGTCCTGCTTACATGTAACGCGAGGGAAGGGATTATCGAGGAGGGTGCGACAGACCCGTCGCGTCGACGCGCTTATCATTGATGAATACAATACGAGAAAAGAGGGCAGCGTCGCGAATTAAGGACGCGTCGACACGCGAGATGAGACGACGATGGAAAATCGAACGAAACACTGATAATTGCTACGTCAACTGGTAATTGATTAAACTTCGTCGCGTCTCGACAATCGGAAATCGGAGAAAATTGATGCGAACCGATATACGAATGACATGTTCCGGAAGACAAAAACATCGAATGAATAAAAAAGCTATTTCGAAATGTTTCCCTTGAGTTAATTTAATTTAATTTTTGCTTTCATTTTATCAAGAGAAAAAGTAATTTTTCGTCTCGAGATGTTTGACTGAAAAAATGGAAACTAAAAGGTACTATAAAGTTTCAGCACTTTAGAGAGTTACGTTTGAAGTAGAATGATGGTACATGCCTATAGTGTAGCAAATGATGCGAATCGAATTCAGTTTAACATAGTGCTACAAATTTTCGAGTGCTTTCGATATTAACGTGTTATGAGTTTGAAATTTATAACATCACAAAACTGGTGGATTCGCGTTATTTATTTTCTTTATATATAATAAACGAATATCGTTTCCTTTTGCACGTCTATACCATACTTCTCGATAATTGCGCGGCGGAGCAGGGCTAAGTGGCCAAAAAGCCATCGGTATAGGGAACGCGATATATTTATACCGGTCAGCGGAACTGTACTCTTCGCTTTCCGATAATTAATTGGAAGTTGTGCACCTCCGACTAAAGTAAATCGTTCGTGAAATAAATTTATTTAACGGTAATAAATTCAACGCATAATAATCACGTTATTAACTGAATTAACAAATTGTCATTCCCCCAAACTGGATCTTGTTTATAATTTTATTGATAATAAATGAGACCTCGTGAATAAATTACAATACGTTAATGATTCATTTAACAATTGTTATTAACGGTAGTACATCATATATCGTTTTCGAGTAGTAAAGGCGCCGAATATTTTCATAAATTTCAAATACACGATATAAATTAATAATAATATAATTAATAAAATAACACACAATAATGTTAACGCGCAATAATAAAAATGCTGTGGAAAAATAATGATAACGATAACATATGCTACTCTCATATATGAATTAAGGGAATATTCGATAAAAAAAAGAACGAAACAAAGATGATGGAATATGAATGAGACATCCGCTTGAACTTTGACCTACCCTGTCCAGAGGACAAACTCGATCCCTTCGCCGTGCATCGATCTCATAGCCCGCGCCGCCGATTCGATGAGGGCCCAGGGCGAGTCGCAGCTGTAGTCGCCGAACTTGCCCGCCAATTTTCTGTCGAGTCTTATCCGCCCGCTGTCGAGGCTGTTCTTCGTGTTCCAGCACACTGAAACCACACATCGACGAATTGTAAACGCGATACGTGCACGAGAGAGGGTTATTCGTGGGAACCTGCGAGATGGAGTGCAAAACAGGGGACGGCCAGGGTCGCGCTTAAGGCTCGTGTCGTCGTCCCGCTAACGTTCGTACGACACGAGGCCCGAGATATAGCGGTAGGTCGGATAAATGAAGGGAGAAGGAAGAGTAGGACCGTGGTAATTTAAGCCGTCGCTATTTCGCTACCGAGTCTCGTGCCAGCTGAACACGCTAGGTACTTTAAAGCGATCGGTAAATACCGGAGCGGGAAAGGAGAGGAGAGGGTCGGTAAATAACAGTTTTACCTTCCTATTAGAGGAATGATAATAATTTGCTCATGCGATCGTCGGAAAATGAAATGTATAACGAAACGGGGGCGTGTGTCCGTTTTAAAGCTCGGTCCCTCGCATGCTAAATAGACCCAAATATGTCTCGTGCGAAATGCTTCCTTTCTCGAAATGAAAAATGTACGTTTAATAATATCAAAGATGAACGTAACATGTGTGAAAATTAACACTCATTAACGCGCAATTGCCTACATAATTTCAATTAATTTTTTCTTTCTCTAAAATATTCGATTATTAAAATTTTTCGTCTTTTTTTTAAATCAAGTTTTTAGATAGAAAAATGTTGATGAAACAAAATCTTGTACTGATCTTTACGAATGCGAACAAATTAACGTACGCATTTTTAACAATACTACCAAATGTTATTTTAACGATGAATGTATGTAATAATCTTTCGCGATATTTTTCTTGAAAAATTAATTTCAAACTCTGTGAAAACACGTGTCCACCAGTAAACGTTTATATAATAAGGTGTTTAATGAGATAAAACGTGTATAGTGAGATAAAAGGATGAAAAGTATGTTCGCATTACATATTTTGGAGCATATAAAGTCTTTGATGAAAATTTTCACAAAATATACTAATAAATTTGAAGGAATTTTCATGAAATGCTCGAGAAAGTTTATATCTCGAGGCATCTGGCTACACTGGGTGGTAACATCAAGGCTCGGGTTTCGCATCGGGAGGTCGATCACGTATATTCTCTCCCTAAGAGCGAAAAAGCGAAAAGTGAAAATTTTCGCGCGAATTTCGCAAAATCGTGATGACGTGACCTCGAAGAAATAATGAGGTTTGATAAAATGAGATTTGCACGAGTGATTGGATATAAGATAAAATGTATAAAAACAATCACTAATAATTACGTGATCGATCTCTATAGGTCTACGTTAGTGATATTTGAATGAAAATCAAACACATTGAGAAAATCAACACATGCGAAATATTTTTTCGAAAAATATACTAAACTAATAAAAAGAAATATCCTAGAAAAGATATGTTTCTAATAAAAATAATAAATCGATTGATTATTAATAATTGACTTACTGCTGGCGGCGTTTCCTTGCGTAGAATACTTTGGGTCGTAATGGAGATCGGTGATATGCCAGAAATAGCCTACAAGACGACAAACTTTTCTTTATCCTGATTGTGGGGTTAATGAAAAATAAAAAGCGGTAAAAATATCGAAATTGAAATAAAATTTTCACGTCAATATGGTAGTATATTTCGGTGCTTAAAGCGATTGAACCGCTCTCTGGCTTCGATCAAATCGCATATTTCAAAAACGCTATTCGTAAATAAAAATAACTTATTTGTCTATGCAGAGCAGCGCGAAATTTCAAATACCATCGTTGTTTATTAAGAGATTTAGTTTACACTTTTTTCATAGAATTTGCCATTTTTATATTTTTTAAATAAATAGACTTTTGCCTTTCTGTAAAAAATTGGCCTGTAACCTTGTCAAAATATCCCAAGAATTAAAACCAGTATAATATCACGCGAGTTAAATTTTCTGTTGTCGCAGTATGGAAAAATATGTATATATATATATATATCATACCAATTGCTGCGCTCCCATTGTCACAAATAAACATAGGGATCATATTCGCATGTCTATATGAAAAAAATGCCGCGATGTACATCGCGAAACTCGTTGCGCAGATGGAAATTTTGCTGTCCTGACAAATTTTTCGTCACTAGACGAAGCGCTATGTGGAGACTCATGAAATTGAGGTCGATTACATCTTGGAAACAATAACAGCTATGAAAGATAACACGACAATAAAAAAACATTGTTGTAAGCTTTTATGCGCGTATATGGTGCTTTATAATTGCGCTTTGTGTGTTTAAAAGGAAAACTTGCATGTATTTTTAATTTATATTGGCGTACATTTTATCTCCTTGTTATCGAATTATTTAAAATGGAGATTTTTTCTACCAAAAGAGTATTAACAATAAGAATATTACATGTAACAAGAAATTATAGCGTAAGAAATATTTTAATCTTGCTGTGTGTAAAAGAGGAGAAAGAATGAAAGAGAATGTTATATTTATTTTAGGCTATTTTAGTGCCTTTTGCAAATATAACAATACTCTAATGAAAACTTTATAAAATAACAAAATTGTTGATTATTTACGACAATCGTGATAAAAATTATAACGAAAAAAGCATCATTATAATCTTATTCCTCGACTATATTTGCTGTAACTTTATTATATAAAAAATCGAGCGCAAATGAATTTTCGAAAAACACACACACGCGCGCGCGCGCGCGCGTGAATCTCTCGACTAAATTTAAAGCAAAACGTCGTTTTCAAACCCGCCCGTTGTTGTTCGAAAATCTTTCTCTCGCGCCGCGAGGTGGATTTTCTGGCGGCGCGTAAACGATAGCCAGATTGCAGACGCGCCTGAAGGCATCGGATGAGCCGCTACAATAAACATAATAGTTTCTTATACCCCTTCATAGAGGTATTAACAAAAAAATGGCGTGGACTAAAGTGCATGAAAAAAGTGGAAAATTACAGGGGCTGCAAATATAATATAAATTATAACAATATATTGTCCGCAGAGAGCGCAATGTGTACTCACCTATCTTTCCTTGCACCGCGCAGAGCCACGAGAGCAGTATCAGGTAGTCGCGTATCATCTTTCCGGAATCGCACCTGTAATTACAAGATCGTTTGAACGCCGCAGGAGAGAATTCTCGCGTCGCGCTATAACGATGACGAAGGTTTTGTTTGCGCTCGAGTCTAATGTACAATATATTTTGCAATCTCGCGCGAGAGATTGAAGCCAAGAACTCGGCTGTGAGATAAAGTATATTTCTGTGGCACAAACGGTATATTCCCGGAGTCATAAAAGATGATAAGTATATATACGGTCCGCCCTCACCCTTCGGCGTGCGGCATTAAAGCGGAATAACGCTTCGCGCAGCTTAAACGCGATATGCAAATAAAGGTCGGCCATTAATGTCGGATAGCGCCAGCCGTGGATAATTTTATGTCCGTAAACGCGCCGAATTCGGATATAATCTAGATTTTTCCCCGCGTTTCTATTTCCAAGACAGATGAAATGCGAAAAATCAATTCCGTGAAAATTCACTGCGATTGCAGGGTAAGAGTCCCTCTGTATGTTGCGTGTGTTATGTAGTGCATGCATGTATGTGTAGTTCCGGGCTTTTATTTACCCTGACGCTCACAATAATTTCAATCATGTGCGGTACGCTTTTAGATTCGACCAATAGCGAAAGGATTTGTTGATTTATGCGTTCAACGTCGCAAGGAATGCGTCAAACAAATATAAACAAATTTGTTGGCTTTTTACATTTTGCACAAAAACAAGTTATCTTGCATACACGAGCTAGCCTTCGCAATCAAAATCAAACCATCGAGCGGTTACGTTACACCCTCTTCCCTCAAATTTCGAGGATTCTCGCAAAATTGACAGGACCGGACGCTGGAAAATCGAATTCTGTTTATACGCCAAATGTGTATGAAATTCATCCCTCGACGAAAAATATGTGACATACCGCCGCGCATAATTAATGCAGTCGCGCGCGGCTATTTCGTTTCCCGGCGAAACGTAAATATTCAAGATAAATAACGCAGCGGGAGTTGATAAACAAGCGCTAATTTTGGATTTAATTCAGCGACAATTGCACGCCTCGCGAATTGCAGAGCCGCGAACAGCGATGCATCACTCAACTGTCTTCTTACGCGTTTTTTAAAAACGCCGATTAAAAACAGTTCAACGCGTTACAATCTTCGCGCTAAAATGTATGATTCCGCATGGTATTTTTACCGCGCATCGCACGTATTTTATATTAAAATTTCTCCCTTTTTCTCCAAATTTCTTTTTACATTATTAATTCTTTCCAGTACGATGTTATCGCATGCATATTTTAAGCTTAAGGATGAAGTTTCATATTTATGAGTTCGCTATCATTGTTCTTTGCGAGTTGAATTTTATATATCATTTGAATATTTATTATACAACAATTTTTGGTTCAATTTTCGCATTTCTCGACGACACTCATTCGCGCACTCGTCTCTTACTTATCATATCGCCGCAGACCTGCGAGCAGATTGAAAGCGGATGAATACGGGGTGAGAAAGGGAGGAACGCGAGCACATTTGGCTCGGCGGCCATCGTGAATTTCAATTTGCGACTAGCGCAGGACGAGAACGACAAGCGGAATTACGGAGCGAACCATTACCGGGCAATCGGTCTATCATGAACGGCCTTTTGTACTATGCCCGAGAAAGGGGTGAGAGAGCGGAAGTTTACGATGGGACACGCGATTTTCTTGTTCGTTTCGGGCGATCGCGAGCGTGCGCGACCGAGCGCTAACGACTTAATGCGAAATAATAGCCGAGGTGATGTCGATACCGCGGAATAGGCTAACGCTGATACATGAATCATTTGTGGGCGTCGAATAAAGGAAACGTCGCGATGTTTCGCCGAACGGACAATTTCGCAAAGAACAAGCAACGAATGATTATATATTATCGAGGTATTATAACCGGGAGACTCGCGCTAATTTTGTGTCCCGATGGACTCTTGCTTAACTCGTCTCGAGAGATCGTTTCTCGCGTCAATAATTTGTGCAAATGAGCTAAAAGTGCCTATCGAACGTGCGACAGTGCTTTTTGCCTCTACTGTGCTTCTCACTTCTGCGATCTTAAAATAGATTAAGATGAGAATATATAATTGAATATATATATATAAGCGAATGACCAATACTAAGATGGTTTCTTGACTTTTTTTTAATCTTGCAAACAACTTCAAATTAGACACATAATTAAGATTAAATACTAAATAAGATTTCAAGATTTCGCGCAGCTGCAACTCTTGATTCAAAATCACTTTATCTTCGTATAATTTATTAACGAGAAAGAGCTCAGCGTTGGAGCAAATCTCCCTAATTTAGCATTTAGTATCCATAAAGAAGAGGGAATGCCTTATTTATAACCAAGTGTCTTTATTAAGAAGTAGAAGGATCGATTTTATACGAGTGTATAAAATATCAGAAAGAATGTCAATTGCAAAAGTAAAAAAGATATTAGATTGGCACGCCAAAAATTCGATGTCCTATCGAATAAAATTGAAAATGTCATATATGTGTAGAAATTTGGGTCTGGCTAGATGTGAGCCAGTTTCCCTAGACGCAATCTAGCACCTAGTTGTATGTGTAACCTCGTGAAATCTAGCAGCCTAGATATGTCGAAATATCCAAACGCTCAGATATCATTCTTTTGTTATTTAAACTGATTAGGCGCTAGTCTTAATCGGTATTAGATTCTAGTTAAAAGTCGTTTTTTTTTCGTGGTCCATTATTACACGTAATTATAAGACACGTAACTAAAGAAGATGACACAGCACGAAAACAAGAAAGGTTATCGCGTACAAATTCCCGCAATTTCTACTGCACATACAAATATTTAAAGGAAGCAAAATCTTAAAGAATTACGCGCTACTTGATGATGAATTGTAATAAAATCACTTTCGTCGAAAACTGATCTGATATACACTGAACGATATATTAATGAGTTTGTAGCTGATGGTAGCTCTTCATGGCTGATGGTGATAACCTTAGATATAAGGTTCATGCACTTGACAGTCTTGATACAGTAATGCCAACACTACTCGAGTTTGCTAGTGGGACCGCGATTGTATTCAGAAAATTTTGCCAGATATTATTCAGCTTGAAGGTAGCATAATGGAGAGCAAAATTGGCCAGGATCTATGCTAAAATAATGGTAAACTATTTATCGTAGCTATAGGGGACGCTGGCCATACGCTAGAACCAAACCAGTTTTTCTCGAGCAAATTTCTACATCTGTTTTTAGGCAACTTTTATCAATCGAATTTGCCACCGTGGGTTGCAATATAGTTAGGTACCTTTATTCTCACGCGCATATGACGTATTTAAAAATTAACTCGCAACATCGAGAAATCGCTACTCTCGATATATACATACATGCAGGCTGACGCACTCATCTAGACTAAACACGAAACTTTAAAAACTACGCTCGTAAATATTCATGACACGCGCAAACTGTAATTACTTGTAATCGCGTGTCGCATCGCGCAAATGGCTATGTCGAGCCGCTATAAGAATTCCGCGTAATGTGTTAAAACGATAGCTGCCAACCCCCTTTTTTCCCCCCACGAGCGAGAATAACGAGCGCGTAAACGATATTATATCGTGCGCGCGTTTTGGATTAATAACTCATCATATGCGTATACGACGCGATCCATCAAAATAGTTAAAATCTCAATTGTTGTTATTACGCGACCTCTGTATGGTATCTCTGCTGAACGTTAGTTCATATCATACAGAGGATGAATCTACATAACTTTATTGCCTTAATATATATATATATTTCTGTTGCGCATACAGATTATTCTATAATGTAGATGAAAATGGAAACTTTTAGTCTTGAAAATATGCAGAAGCGATAACGAATCTTGGATAATTTATTCGCAAAGAAGAATCTTTCTTCAAAGTTTATGATAATTTTTCAAATTTATATTTACACACATACATATAATTATTTTTAAAAAATTTAAAGAATCGCACACGTATCCCTAAATATAAATTGAAAATATAACAAATCAGATAGTTTTGATCGAAAAACATATTTCTCGTGTTGAAATATAAAAGAGCCAGAGATGAAACATGTTCATTGTATAGGGCACTCTCCCCTTAAGAGGTGACTATTTGCCCTGTGTTTTCTTACCCTAGCGCTGTAAGCACGTTAATTCGCGCACTTTGCGCTGCTTCACGCTCTGTTAAACTTAGATTATATCTGGTTATAGTAGCGCGTTGTCAACTAGATATAACATCACTAGTATCGCTCGGAACAAGGCTGCTCGAGGAGGTTGTTTGACTATAAACCTGACTATAAAGCTGCTGCCGCACTATTACTTGACATGTCTCGTCTATATTAAAGCGTTGTATTCCGTCCTTCGGATCTCTCTGGTACTGGATCCTGTTGGAAAACGCTCGGCTGACCCCTATATCGCGTCATCCGAGTGATACACGGATGGCGGAGTAATTATCGACGCTCTCTTAAACGACGCGACGATTGACGGAATTGTCTATCGTACTGGGCGTCGCGTCGCGTCGTGTCGCGAAAATACGTTCGCGATCGCAAGTATATCGCGGTGAACGCTTCTTCCGTTTTCTACAACGTAATCTTTCTATCGCGGCAATCAGCAGGGAATCGGCAGGGGATCGCGATAAAGTGGAAGCACGTAGCTGCCATTCCTTCGCGATATTCGCCGTGCCCAGTGGCGCATTTTCGATTAGGTTGCACAATGCCTAGACCTCCAGTTTAGAGAACATTTCAAGCTCGAGGGATATAAAGAAAATATTGTTCTCCAATTTTTTTTCCATCGTTTTAATAATATTCTCTCGAAAGAATCTTGAAGAATTAAATAACATTATTCATTTCGAGTTTGAATAACTTTCATTTGTCTCATATATCGAATTCAACTCGGACAACAATTTATAAAAATACAATTTTAATAAAATACTTAGTTTCAATTGCTGAAGAAATTTTATGTAGTTTATCAAAATAAATCCTATTTTTAGAAAGAGAGAGAGATAGAGAGAGAGAGAGAGAGAATGTTGTATCTTTTTATACACATATTTTAA